TCTTAGTGTTCATCCTACAGACGAGTCCATGGTAACGGATCCCAGTCCCAATCCTGGGCCCGTCTAAGAAGCGCACATAAGCATCGCTGCACATCTTGTTCGGTCCAGGTGGCACTGTGTCCAATTCTGACCGTTTGCAGATTGAGTAGTTGGGTCCGGGTGAACCATTTCAGGCCTGCCTCCTTGGATGGGTCATAACGGAGGTAGATGTCTCGCTGTGTTATCTTACCTGGACCATTTGTAATCAAGGCTAGGGCCTGTGCTCCTGGCGGCAGGGACTCTGCAATGTGAGACTCCAGTTGTATTTGCAGTATTTCGGCAGCTGCTTCAGACTGACTGTTTTGTGGCTCTGCCCAAAAGGACGACCAGCCTGGTAGTGTGACCGTCCCGTGTTTGGTTTTCTCATCTGGAAAAAGACCAACCTCCCATCTCTTGTTTTTCTTCCGAACCGGGATGATTAACATGGCCTCTTGTGACAGCGGGCCAGAGTCGCTGCCCATTTCCACCAGCTGTCTGAGTTTTTTTTTCCGTATCAGGTCAAGAGGCTCGTTCTCTTCCGGGTCCGGGGGGTCTGGGGCCGGCGGCGGGTCCTGGTGCTCTGGTCCCGGGGGGGGTTGCGACCGTTGGTGCCCGGACTCCATTCCAGATGGGGCCCCTCCCTGTTCCGCTTCTGATGTTGCTGCAGCGTGTGGAGGTTGGAATCGTGCAAATACAATTGTCATCAGTCTGTGCCATGCTTCCGCCCACCCCATTCCGGGTTGGAGACCATTATCCAGCACATGTTTGAGTGAAGCACTCGTGTCGAGCATCGGGAATAACTCCAAGTATGTTTTATCCCAGAAGTCGTCAGTGAGGGGGCCATGTTTTGCTTTTAAATTCCCCACTAGCCAATCTGCAATGGCAACTAGTTTTTGTTCTGTGGGTAGGTGTAGAGGGGGCGCCCCTTCCATATTTCCATCTGTGTTTTGTTCTGGGGCCAAGCCTTCTGGTGACGGGCTGACGCTTACTGGGAGAGGGTCCACTTCCATCGGTTATGAGTCAAAGGCTGCGTGGAAGGGATCTGTGTCCTTCGGCAGACCCCCCCCCCTCCCCCTTCGGCCTCGCTTCCATCTCCATCTCCATATCCTCCGCCCCCTCCTGACACTTCTGCTGTTTCCCTGCACTCTCTTGTTCCCCCTGTGTGGGGGGGCTGTTGGTGGTCTCTTCTCGCATCTCCAACGCCCTCTTGCCCCTTACTACCTCAGACTCGCTCAGTTGTTTCAATTGCCCCATTTCCGCCTCTCCAACCCTCCCCCCCTCCTGATGTTTTCTTGTATAGTTCTGTTCCAAATGTTCAGGGGGGTTGCTGGTGATCTCTTCTCGCAGCACGTTTTACTGTTCACTCTTGCCCCTTGTAATCTCTGAACCATTCTGTAATTTCTGTTGTTGCTGATCAGAGGGGGCGGGTTGCTTTTGGAGAATCCCAGAAGTATCCAGCCCATCCTCCCCTCTGATATATTGCTCGGCGGCAGGGCCCGGGACACCGCTGGGTCGACCAGTGTCGGGCCGCGACGGCCCGGGTTCTGTCTGTTGCTTTTGGACCCAGGTATCTTTCCCACTTTTCCCACCCTTCTTCCCCACCCTCTTCCAGCCTGGGTCGTCCCCCCCCCCCTGCAGACGGGTCGTTTGTATCTCCTGTACCTTCTCCTCTACTGGTGCCGGGGGGGTCCATGTGTTGGGGGGGCGTGTTCCCCAGTCTGGTTCTCCAGCTCGCTCCCATTTCCACCCCACAGTGGTGCCTTCCTTCGTCTGGTCCTCGATGTAGACCCATCCTTCATGACCCGGGTCCACTGTTCTCCAATGAGTCGTTTTGAACGGGTCCCTCAAAAGCCTCCCTGTTTGCCGGGTTCTTTTCTGCGGGTGCAATGGACAAACGTATTCTGTGCTCAAGTGGCCGTAAGCCTTGCACTTGTGGCACCACGGTCTCAGTTTGTGTGCTGTGTGAATCATGTGTTCTTTCTTCCAACCTGATATGGAATGACGTCATCCAGGGAGAAGGGGTGTCCCTGAGGGAAGTCGAGGGCGAGCATTAGGTAGTCGTCCCCTTTGGCGACAAAGGAGGGGAGCGGATCTATGAACGCTACTATGTCATACATCAGACCGAAATCGTATACGAATGCTGCCTGTATTTCGACCGGGATGTGTCGGAATTCTACCCAGTGGTAGTCTTGCATCAGCTGCGCTCTCCTCTCTTCCGGACCCAGTCCTCGCGGTGGCAACCATGGGTAGATTCGAACCTCCGATCTTTCGCAACGCAGGCGTTTCCATCCGTCAATTGTAGTTTTGTCTGATTCATGCATGCACAAGACAGTAAAGAGGTTGCAATACTGCCAATGAAGCAACGAAAGATATGAAGAAGGGTAAGTAACCAAGGACTGACAAAAATTAGGTCGTGGTTTCAAGTAGTGATGCAGCGCTGCAAAAGACCAGACAAAGGTTGACTCACACACATAACTGGAGAGGGGCAGTAATGACGGCGGGAGTTCAAAATTTCAAATGCTGGTAGAACACTGCAAATAAGAAAGTAGCCAGACTCTATGACAAGCTGGGTGGCCGAGCTCAGCTGGTAAGGCACACAAGTGGCATTCAAGAGGTCTTGGGTTCAATTCCCATTGGCCTCATGTACCTTCCTGGGCAAGTTTGACGCCTGCCACCTAGAGATAGGCCATTGCCCCCCCCGGAGTGGCATTTAGCAGAGACTGCTGATATTCATTGGGGGAGGGGACTGCAGGGGAGGCACAAGCGACTGGCTCATCGCAGAAGCTCGGTCCTGATGCTACCGGCTGACCCCTGGCTGGTATCGCCCACCTGCTGTAGCAGGTATCGCACCTGCTGGTGGGTGCAGCTCCCGCATGCTCCCTCGTTGGAGGCTTGAGCACGGATGTGGCTGCTACGGGGTTCCCCGAAATACTATATTATTATTATTATATTATTAATGACAATAAAAGAAGGCCATGATCCTGTCCAGATTTGACAGGTAATTGAATTGGTTGGGCTTGAAAGAATTAGACTTTATTAAAAAGAAGAAAAAAGAAAAAACCTGGACAGTGGACTTCAAAAAAAAAAAAAAAAAAAAAAAGAGAGGGAGGGTAAAAGACAAGGGTACCAAGGTGAATTGAAAGAATTGGAAAGATGATGAAAGATTTGAGAGAAGAATATACTATATAGCATAGTTAAAATATAAACAAATATGTATATACTATATAATACTATATATATTATATATCAAATCCTGGAGGAACACTGCAAATGTGAGTCGTATACATCCCTAGAGGATAGTAACTGTCCATCATCAGGTAAGTACTAAGCAAGTAGAATGAAGGGTAAGTAACGGCGATAATGGGGTCATGAGTCCGATGCAACAACAGGAAAGACCAAACAAAGGTAACTGTCAATAATGAGGTAAGTTGAACTAAGTTCAAAATAATAATAATAATAATAATAATAATAAATCAGGTAAGTACGAAGTAGCAAGTACCAACTTACTACCAAGTAGTATGCATACAACCCAGACACTGACTGGCCTCTTGTGACTTTCAGTAATATTCTGCTTTGGCGGTGAGTACTGGGAACCCTGTGAAGACCTCTGTTCCATTCCTTGTGCTGGCATTTCCCCTCCTCTGCCCCTTCTCCCTCCTCCCTCCCCTCATGTAGAACTCCCCCTCCGCTTTCCTTTCTCCCTCCCAGTGTGTAGCACTACTAAATGCAAATGAATGAGCATCATTACGAGAACAGAAATATATATTATATGCTGAAGAGCTGCTGAATACTGAACAGCAGTATACCTCCACTGTCACTCTGCCTCCTTTCATAGCGTGCAAGTGGGCTGTTATGGGAGACGGGGATGCGGGCAGCTCACGCGCAGGCACAATCAATGTGGCGAGCCTTGTACGTGAGAGCCACAGCCACAATCAACACTGCAAGAAGTACAAAAGAGAGAACCGGAAAGAAAGACGGAGTTAGGAAAGCGAGGAAAGGACTGCACAAGGAAAGGCAAAAGAACTTTAAAGAAGCCCCAAAATAGATGTTTTACAGTTTTAGTGGGCTTTTCCTTGTTGTTTGCTATATAGGTAAGTATGCTTCTTCAAATTTGGCTCTGCTCATCTTAGTCTGCTTGCATGATGTTTACTATAGATTCAGTATAGAGAGGTAAAGCTGTTTTAATTTTTGGATCTGCTCATCTGCGAGAAAAAAAGGCTTGTTCTGCTGGCAGTCAATGATGCAATAGAGACGACGTACACAGTGGCCTGAGGTAGAAAAACATATGCTCATTTGAAACACCTGCAGTATGCCATGCTGAAAGGTTATCGCCTCCACGGCAAGGAGTGGCAGAGACCGGATGCTGCAACAGGTGAGCATCTGTATGTTTGGATCTAGCCCTGTTCACACACAACTTCACAGTTGCCTGTCCACAGACAAGCAATGTCGGCTACGGAATCCCAGGAAAGTTGAAGCGGCTTGCTCACTGCCGCACTGTGATGACCTGCCTGATGTTCGGCTACCGTCGTCAACCAAACACAATGTGCACTCATTATAGCTGCATTTTGGGGGTATCTTTCAGTCTAAATACGGCAACAATACAGCAACAACGAGCATACGTTGTATTCGGGTGAAGACAGTAGCATCATGTGATCCACATTCTCTATGTCGTGAGCGTTATGAGGGTATGGTCCATGCGAGTTTTTTTTTCTTTTTCAAGTTTTTCTTTCATATCTATGATGACAATCAGCATTACCCATCTGCTCAATCACGGCACCCACCCACGCTGGCTCTGTGAAATACGAACAGTTACATCACCACTTTATAATAACTTGAGGATAGAAACTGGAGGAGAGCGGCCTATGTGCTAGTTCTTCCCCATGCTGAAGATGTTACCCATCATACGCGTGTCCTTGTTTCGAAGTTAAAACTGTGTTCTCCTGGCTATGGTGTTGTGTGGGGTGCGGTGGGATGGGATGCAGGAGGTGATTGACAAGTCGAAGAACTGCACGGGGTGGAAGTTTTTCTACACTGACGTGAAGCGGCAGACAGGAAGCGAGAGCATGTATCAATACGAGGCGAGTGCCGGTCGGGAGACGAGCACGAACAATGCGTTCGTGAACCTGATGATTGCTTCGGAGGCTGACTTCTTCATTGGTGCTCTTGGTTCCACATGGTGCCTTTTGCTTGACGAACTTCGCAGCACGAATGGACGACTGCCAGCAGGTTATCTCAGTGTGAACCGCGACCGGTTTTGGTAAATCCATCCCAAGGTTTAGGGCAGTGGCATGCCAAAGCTCCACTTTGCGCCTCTGTACGTTCAGCTGCGCAGTATGAGCATATCTGTAGTTGTGTAGGATGGAAGACAGTTTGCTACCCTGCCAGGTTACGGCGATGTAGAGTAGAGTAGAGTAGCGGCAATCATTGCTGCTCCTCCAGCAGGTTATTGTGACCCGGAGTAACAGGACTGCCGGTGATGCCGAGTAGCAGGCTTGCTTGCTTCTTTGGGCCGGACACCATCGACGGTGCTCTGGGTCCTTCGCTTGCTGAACTACACATGGAAATAAATGGCATACCTTGCAAGGATCAGTGGTGATTTCGCATGCATGCCCATATGACATGGACACGGCAGCGGTTGCAGGCTGTGTCACCGTACACAGCAGCAAGACCATTGCCCCGATCCTGATCATCGCCAACGATCTTAGAGCATCATTGCTGGCGTCGACCGGACTTGATCCCTTCATTCGCGCGATTGCGCATATTTAGACGTGAACAGTGGAGGCGGCAGATTTTTGGACATGCACAGCAGAAAGTGTCATTGCTTATTTGGTTGCAGTTGTTGGGGTTCTCCTTCCTCCCGTTGGGCTACAGCAGGAACGACGTTCACAGTCATGCATGTGCTCCGCCAAGATGATGCAGAGGCAGCCAGTTTGGCCGTACATAGATCCAAGACTACTTTCTTGAGTTCACCGCAGTTGACTGATTCTCTGCCCCTTTGTCAGGCGAAGAGCGAACAGAATGTCTCCGCAGAGGAAGCGGTGTTTGCATGTACACACACATGCATGGGTTCCGCCAAGAAGATACAGACGCAACAAGTTTCGCCGTACATATCTCCATATTGCTTCCCTAGGGTTGATGATTCTCTGCGCCTTTCTCAGGTGAGGGAGCGGTGTTTGCATGTACACACGCAGGCATGGGCTCCGCCAAGAAGATGCAGATGCAACAAGTTTCGCCGTACATAGCTCCAAGATTGCTTCTCCAGGGTTGATGATTCTCCGCCCCTTTCTCAGGTTAGGAAGCGGTTTTTGCATGTACACCAGGCAGCATGGCAATGGCTCTCATGTCGGCTGCTGTAGAGGATTGCCAACCTTCATCGGAGTACGGTGGAAGAACGGATCTAATGTTGGAACAATGCGGTTAAGGATGGATTATGTTTGCAGGCATGTTCTCTAGTCATCAACATGCAGAAGTGAAGCAGAGCAGCGAGCATTGGACCTACCATGGACCTACACGAGAACAGCGATGTCATTACGCTGATTTTGTTATTGTGCCTGCCATTGTTGATGATCTCTCTCCTTCATTGGAATATCAAGGCTGCTGAAAGAATGGATGGAATGCCAGCCTGTCAGCTACTGTCCACATGCCTCTTTTGGCAAGTTTTCGTAGACATGAACATGTTGAGAGTGTGAAGGAGGACAAAGTTTACGATCATCTGCATATTAGTCAGTTCTTCGGCATTGCCCACTTCGTGTCCTGAGGTTTAGGTTGAGTTGGTTGCATGTGTTTTTGGCCAGTTTTCCCAGACATGAACGTCTTGAGAGCGTGAAGGAGGACAAAGTTTACGATCATCCGCATATTAGTCAGACCTTCTGCGTCGCCCACTTCGTCTCCTGAGATTGAGGTTGAGGTTGAGTTGGTTGCATGTGTTTTGGCCAGTTTTCCCAAACATGAATGTGTTGAGAGCGTGAAGGAGGACAAGTTTACAATCATCCGAATATTAGTACGACCTTCGGCGTCGCCCACTTCGTGTCCTGAGGTTAAAGTTGAGGAGGTTGAGGTTGAGGTTGAGGTTGAGTTGGTTGCATGTGTTTTTGGCCAGTTTTTTCCCAGACATTAACATTTTGAGAGCATGAAGGAGGACAAAGTCTACTATCATCTACATATTAGTCAGACCTTTGGTGTCACCCACTTCGTCTCCTGAGATTGAGGTTGAGGTTGAGTTGGTTGCATATGTTTTTGGGCCAGTTTTTCCCAGACATGAACATCTTGAGAGCGTGAAGGAGGACATCTACGATCATCGGCATATTAGTCAGACCTTCGGCGTCACCCGCTTCGTGTCCTGAGGTTGAGTTTGAGTTGGCTGCAAACCGTTGCATGTGCTTTTGTAACTTTTTGGCAAATTTTCGCGGACACAAACATGTTGAGAACGTGGAGGACAAAGTTTACGATCATCCTCATGGTCAGACGGACTCAGACCTTTCGGCGTCGCCCACTTCGTGTCCCAAGGTTAAGGTCAAGGTTCAATTGATTGGAAGATCGGTTTCACGGGTCATCGAGAGGAGGTGGCAGAAATAATATGTGGTCGTTGCGGTGAGCTCAGAGCCTGTGTACATAGTCAGGAAGTCAGGCAGATGCAACAGAAGGATGGTGGGTAGGCTGACTACGGCTGCTGACGGATTGATTCCCCTTGTCTTTTCCCCGGCGTCAGAATTTAAGAAGATTTCCACACCCCCACCGGCCTTATAACCGACCGGGCCCTTGAGAATAGAACAAGGCCACATACGGTTGCAGATGTGAGAGCAGTTGGAATTTTTTCTTAAAAAATGTCTTACCGTTTTACGCATTTTTTTTACGGTCGTGAAGGTGCAAATCATCAGACCTTTTCTCACATATTTTTTCAAAGGGTAGTCAGTGGAGTAATTCCCACTAGATAAAATTTGGTGGGTATGTGGGTACGTCGAGAGGTAGGTGCATTGGTAGGTGAGTTGGCCGATAGATTGACAGGCCGGTGGATCTGTCTGATTAGGTAAGTAGGCCGATTGATTGTTGATTGGCACGTGGATGTGTCTTTGTCCGATCTCTTCGACAATAGTTAAGTGTTTATCTGGGGCGGATGCCTTGTTTGGGGCGCTTACACAGTANTTGATTGGCACGTGGATGTGTCTTTGTCCGATCTCTTCGACAATAGTTAAGTGTTTATCTGGGGCGGATGCCTTGTTTGGGGCGCTTACACAGTATTGTTAAAGGCAAATCTGGCTTGATTGGCACGTGGATGTGTCTTTGTCCGATCTCTTCGACAATAGTTAGTATTTATCTGGGTCAATGCCTTGTCTGGGGCGCTCTTACACAGTACTGTTAAACGCTATTTTGGCTTGATTGGCACGTGGATGTGTCTTTGTCCGATCTCTTCGACAATAGTTAAGTGTTTATCTGGGGCAGATGCCCTGTCCGGGGCGCTGATAGAGTACTGTTGAAGGCAAATCCATGATGAATGTGTCGGTACACTGCCTATGTGCTGAAACCGCCCCCGAGTATCCAATGATGAACGCGTCGGTGCGGACAATGAGCAGGGAAGGAAGTCAAAGACCGTAAAGCCTCGACGACTGCACGCCAGAAATCCCAACCCAATCATATAAGATGGAATGTATGACATGACGATACCGTCCGAACTTCCAGGAAGGCGCGAGTGGAAGCTCAAGCGTTTGGTGGCTTGGGATCTAATCAAGACTCTGTGCGTCCCGGCTCAGGGGGCTTTATGTATCAACAAAGTGTAGGTACTTTACGTAAGTCTTAGAGAGGAGGGATGAAGTTTCGTTCCAAGAATCAGTGAAGATTATGTGCTTGTTTCAGCCTTTCAGTGGATGTACACATATATGCGTATGTGCCTTTGTGTACGTTTGTATATATGTGTATATCTTGCTGCGTTCATTCATTCACGCAGTGTTCCTTCAGAGAATCTTCTGAGTCTCTTCGCCATAAATGGATGGAAGTCTGTCGAATCTGTGTCGATTGGCCGTCCATATTCCGAGTACGATTGATTCACCCGCAACTCCGAATTGATTACGGGTCTTGCTCCACCACTCACCAAATGAACAAAAGACGAAAATTATGGCGGTGTATCTTTCCATGTTCTAGTGGTAGATTCATTCTCATTTCGCACATTTGGTGAGTGGTTGAGCAAAGCCCTATGGCTGATTAGCCGATGTGTCGCCGGGTTGCTGACCGTTGTGTAGTGTTTTCTTTTTTTATTTTTTAAATGCCCTTGCAGTTCTTCTTATTACAGTGCTAGAGTATTATCATCGTATAGCTGAAGCTGCAGTTGCGGTGAGGCGTCTCCATCTCTCATGGTGGACTCGCACGACGACTTTACTGGATGTATGTGAGTGGAATTAGGGCACAGCCTGGGTGGGGTGCATCTGACCGCAATTATGGCCAGAGTTCAGTTGAAAAAAGCTCCTTGTAAACGCTCGCTTGATCTTCTACCGCTCTCTGCCAGTCATGCCTCTGCTGGTACTATTTTCAGAATGACTCCCGTAGCATGCCAGGGCTCGTGCTGTGCACCTGCTGGGAGTACCAATTTGTTTTCAGTGCGAGTTCTTTGGACTGTTTCTTACACTGATGTGCTGTCAAGACCGTTGGCCTTTGCTTCCGAATCCCCGGTACGCTGGTATTTTGCAGATTTGCCCCTCAGCCACGTCGTCGCCTGAGTTTCCTTTTCAATTTGGTGGAACTCTGTGGTCCCAACCATTTAGCTTGGGCCCGCTCGGACTCCAGTCCCACTTAGCCACGGTACTTATATTGAAGGTCAGCAGCACACTTCATTTACCGTTCAATCATTTGATTCTTTCCTTTTTTTTTTTGTTTGGGATATTCTTAATAATGCTCTTATTAGTTCAAGTACTTCCTGGTGCTGCTGAAATCTTCATGTGTTGAGTCAAGTCCAGATCTCTCTCTCTCTCTCTCTCTCTCTCTCTCTCTCTCTCTCTCTCTCTCTCTCTCCCCCCTACTCTCAGATTTCCTTGGTTCTTTTTTTTTTTTTTTTTTTTAAGTGGAGCTTGTGTGCGTGAGAGTGGACTGTCCCTCCTCCCTGCATGAATTCTCTGAACCAGTCTTGGCTCAACTGCTGTCAACCAATCCTGAATTGTCCTTCTTCATGAATTTATACCAGAATGGTGCCATTTTCATTGTTTGTTTGTTTGTTTGTTTCTTTTAATATATTTACTTATGCTTGTAAGCCTTATATCATAAGTTATATGTTATTATTTACTTATTGATTGATTGCGAGGATTTGGCTCCTCGGCAGGCCTAAGGGCCCCAGTTTTGGCATGTGCCCGCCCTAAGTGAAGGCGGGCCTGAGAAGATCACGAGGGGCCCATTGTTGTCAATTTCACATTTGGGGATCAGGCAGTTGCGTCGCGTCAGTTGGTTGGAGGAACCCAGGGCACGGCCAGCCACACTTTTGTTCAGCCCATCTTCGAGGCAGGCCCTGGGCCACATCTACAGTAGTATACACGACAGGCAGTTGGGAGGCACAACTAACCGGGCCCCAGGGCAGTAGCAGCAAAGGCCCAGCTACCCGGGGCCTACCGGAAGCTTCTGGGCGCAGGCCCAGCCCAGGCAGGCCGCAGTCCAGGCCAGACTCTTTCCATATAGGAAAGAGCTCGCTGCCTGGCCAGATATTTGGGCACTTGCTAGTTTGCGGCAGCACTGCTGGAGCAAGCACTCGCGGGCTGCTGCTAGCACAGAGCAAGGTGCAGCGCACTTGCGGTCGTGTAAAAGGAAAGGCACTGCTGAGGGCAGCGCCATAGCCCGGCTTCCATAGCTGGCTGGGGCTTGGTGATACAGCAAGTAGTGGTGGTCTTCGTCCATGAAGGAGAAGACGTGGGTGAAAGACAAGGGAGAGAGTAAGATTGAGAGAGGAGGAGGATGACGTGAGGGCACATACCTGGTTATGGCGATAGTCTGCAAGGGGCGGCATCTTCATGTACTTCGGTGGCTGCTGACGTCAACAGTTGCATTGTCAATTCATAGGCAGATAGTAGCTGTGTGGGAGTAGTCTGGGCGCCGAGCGCCAAGTAGGGGGAAGGGCCTGGAGACTTATGTTGGTGATGACGATAGTAATCTCTCATTGACATTCGGTTTCAGTGCTTCGATTCTCCGTTGGTGTAATATTGGTGCAATGCTGCTTTCTGGACACTGTGGGACTTTCTGGCTTTCAATGTGATTGTGCAATCTGGATTCTGTTATCTCGCTATTGCTCATTTTCCTTGCAACTTGGTATCGGGTTTGAACTATGCTTGCTGATTCTTCGCAATAGCCGTTCGGTGCTTCGCATGTGTGAGTGGGGCAGTGATAATGCTTGGCCGTTGAACGTGAGGCAGTCCAGGGTTGTGTGGGCGAGCCAGGAAGGCTATGAGGTGGCATTGGGGTGTATGTTGAATGATGAGAACTCGCTGTTGTGGCATTTAAGCCGAGGTGGAACTGCGTTGCACTGTTTGTTGTGCCAAGGCAAAGACCGGTCGTCATAAATACACATCATGTTGCTGGTGAGAAATCTGTGATTGGGGGCAGCATTATGAGGTACGTTGCTCTCATCCTTTTCTACCCTCTTCGTTGCTTCTTACCATGAGGAAGTGAGTTCTGTCTTGAGAGTCCTCTTGATGTGAGGTGTCATGAGCGCTCAACCTTGAGAGTCGACATTCTTCCTGGGCAGCAAGCTGGTGGGAGACGGGTGAAGCCTCTGAAGGCCCTGGACGAAGCACTCGGGTCGCAGACACCATGCCAACCCATTGGGACTAGTACACGCATGCTTTGCCGCAAGTCCTTGGTTCTGCTTGCTGCGGTAATAGAGATCATGCTGGGCATGCCATCCCTATAAGAGAGGCTCACCAGACCGTCTATAAATATTTCTGGCGGGTTGCTGTTGAACCTTGGCTGTGATCGTCATCCAGATTGTGATGTTAAATATTTCCTGAGGACCGTGGGGGCTGTCCTTAAACTGCCTCTTGATCAGCCAGATCAACCGGAAGTAAGGCTCGCTGCATGTGAGGACAAGTAAGATGCAGGGCTGGCAGGCTTAGCATAGACTTGGGGCATAGGGGTGGGCCGGATTGCAAACCTTTAGAGATGCTGCTCAACCAGATGCTTAGGACGTAGACATAAGTGACTACTCAAGAGGGATACAGGGGGAGGAAAGATTCTGACAACTGTTCGCCGCTGGACTAATTAGACAAAACGCCATCCAGCATGCATCTCCACAGGTGATTTATTTTCATTTTTGATTATTTAGTTGTACGGACTTGGGTGACAACTAAAAAAACAGATGCAGATAGAACAGAAACTTCCTTGCTGCATTGCATTGTGTTTTAGAATAATCTAAAAATAGAAATAGAGTTACCTTCAGGATCTGACATTGGTCGCTGGTTACCATTTGACTACTTACCTCCAGGCTGACCGAAATTAGTTGTTTTGTATTACTCGGTTGGGTGTCACGCTGAGGTAGGACTGAGTGTGGGCTCTAGTTTAGATCACACACCACTGTAGCTCATGATTGAAGAAGGAAGCAGTGAGAAGGAACGATTAGTAGAGGAACTTAGAGTTACCCGCAGAACTGCACTCGGTCGACGGATCACATCCTACAACTAGACCAAGGAGAGGAAAGGAGGCTGCGGAGGATGGCATTATAGATGGCTAGGGAAGCAGCAGCCAGAGCTGAAAGGGCACTAGCAGCAGCAGTAGAAGCAGAAGCTAGAGCCAACACCGAGGCAACCATGGCTACCGCCTCTACTATGTCACGGACCTCGTCTCAGGCCTTGTCGTCAGGTGTCAGTTAGGGGTACGCTCAAGTTTCTGCTAGTCTGTCTGTTGGTCCGCAAGTCAGCCAACAGCCTCAACTCACGCCACAAGATTATGAGATCTTACCAGCGCATGCTCTTCATGATCAGCTACAGCAGCAGTTGAGGGATGTAGCGGATAGAAGGAATAAGGCTAGAATGAGGAAAGCCAGACTAGGAGCTAGGAGGCAGGAGTTAGAAGAGTTGGAAGCACTAGATGATTCAACATTGGATCATGCGGTCAAGGCACTGCGACGCTCGCTGCTGTGTGTGGTGGAAGCACAGGTAGTGCATCAGGAATTGTTGGTCGAGCTAGTGGCGGCCAGAACCGTATTCTGGTAGCACTGCAGGCTCCTGGTCCCATGATGAGGCAGCCTCAGTTCTCTATAGCTCCCCCTACGGTTGCGGGTCCCACTGTGACGCCGTTTTAGTAGGCCCCTCTTTCTCTCCCATGTTTGGTATGCCTGTCACAAGTGGTGTAGTAGCACCTAGCGGTCAGGTCCTTAGGGCTTCTCCCCGACCATCGATGACGGTGGCAGGTACAGTCCCGTCGCCAGGGCCACCTCAGGTTAGCGCGCAGCAACCTGTTCAAGTGGTTTTGCAGGCTCGATAACAAACACCTGGGGCAATCCAACCCATGCAGTGGATCCCCTTGCCCAGTCCTCAACCCTTTTCTGGCATAAGAAGAAGGAAGAGGACCTGGACACCTGGGTGAGGATTGTGCCTACTTATGTGAGGCACGAGCTCACAAGGCCAGAACAAGAAGTTATGCAGCCCCCTGATGGTTAAACGGTCTAGAGCAACAACAGGGCTATGGTTAGAACTTTGATGCCTGGCCCGGAGCCGGACATTGGAAGACTTCGTACGGACTGTGTACAATAGGTGGCATGACCCTCAAGGGCTCTCAGAAGGCCACTGACGCATTGGTTAGCCTCGGTTCCAAACGGTACCGGACAGTGCGTGAAGTCACATACGTCGTAGAACGTCTGATCGTGGTGCTTGGCGTGCGTTATGACCTGCAGGTGCTCCTCACAACGTATTTGCAATGTTTGCCCACAAATGTCAAGAATAAGTTGGTGGACGAGGCCTCCATCGATGTCCATAACTTTGCTACTTTCAACAAGAAGGCCTTAGATATAGACGCCAAGCTTGGGACCGCACAGCAGGGAGTGGTGGATAGTAGGAAGAAGAAGCTTCCCCAGGATTGGAGGAAGAAGGGCAATCTCATGTTTGTTGACCACGATGGTCAGGCGACTGAGATTAACGACTTCCCT